GAAACTAAATAATCTAATCCTAATGAATGAGTGTGTCAAAGAACAAATCATAGAAATAATTATTTCATTAAAGAGAATGACAACAATGAGACAATATACCAAAAGTTACGGGATGCAGAAAATTTATATTTGTAAATGCTTACATCAATAAAGTAGAGAAAGATAAGATAAATTAATCTGGCATGCAACTAAACTAGAAAAAGAACCAATTAAAAATCCCCCATTAAACACCAAATTGGATATCCTGAAAATCAAAGGAGAGATTAATAAAATTGAAAGGAAGAAAACCATTAAACTAATAAATAAAACTAGGAGCTGGTTTTATTTTAAAAGCCAATGAAATAGATAAGTCATTGGTTAATTTGATTTTTTTAAAAAAGAAGAAAACCAAATTACCAGCATCAGAAACAAGAGGGGTAAATTCACCACCAATGAAGATGAAATTAAGGCAATTATTAGGAGCTATTTTGTCCAATTATATGCCAAGAAATCTAACAAGCTAAGTGAAAGGGATGAATATTCGTAAAATATAAATTTCCTAGATTAACAAAAGAGAAAATCAAAGATTTAAATAACACTAACTTAGAAAAATAAATTGAACACACCATCAATGAGCTCCCTAAGAAAAAATCCCCAGGACCTGATGATTTCACAACTGAATACTGCCAAACATTTAAAGAAAAATTTAATTCTAATACTATATAAACTATTTAGGAAAATAGACAAAGAAGGAGTCCTATCAGATTCCTTTTAAGACACAAATATGGCACTGATACCTAAAGTAGGAAGAGCAAAAACAGAGAAAGAAAACTATAGAACAATTTTACTAATGAATGTTGATGCAAAAAAATTTAAATAAAATACTAGCAAGATTATAGCAAAATATCACAAAGATCATACACTATAACTAGGTGGGATTTATACTACAAATGCAGGACTGGTTCAGTATTAGGAAAACTATCAACATCATTTACCATCTCAATAACAAAAACAATAAAAATCATATGATTATCTCAATAGATGCAGAAAAAGCTTTTGACAAAATACAACACTCATTCCTATTTTAAAAAAAACACTTGAAAGCATAGGAATAAATGAAACTTTCCTTAAAATGATAAATAGTATCTACCTAAAACCATAAGCAAACATTACCTATAATGGGGATAAGCTAGAAGCCTTCCCAATAAGATCAGGGTGAAGCAAGGATGCCCACTTTCACCACTATTGCTCAATATTGCACCAGAAATGCTAGCTATAGCACAAGAGAAGAAAAAGAAATAAAAATATTTGAACAGGCAATGTGGAAACAAAACTATCACTCTTTGCAAATGATATAATAGTATACTTGGAAGATCCTAGAGAATCAACTAAAAAGCTAGTTGAAATAATTAGCAGAGTCGCAGGATGTAAACTAAACTCACATAAGTCATCAGCATTTCCATATATTACCAATAAAGTCTAGCAAGAAGAGCTAGAAAGAGAAATTCCATTTGAAATCACTGTAGACAACATAAAGTACTTGGGAGTTTACCTACCGAGATAAACCCAAGAACTATATGAAAACAATTACAAAACACTTTTCACACAAATAAAGTCAGATCTAAACAATTAGAAAAATATTAATTGCTCACGTTAGGCCAGGCCAATATAATAAAAATGACAGTTCTACCTAAGTTAATCTACTTATTCGGTACCATACCAATCAAATTACCAAAATGTTATTTTGTAGAGCTAGAAAAAATAATAACAAAATTAATCTTGAAGAACAAAAGGTCAAGAATATCAAGGGAATCAATGAAAAAGAATATGTGAAGGTAAGTGGCTTAGCTGTACCAGATATCATACTGTATTACCAGGTAGTAATCATCAAAATATGATACTGGCAAGAAATAGAGTGGTGAATCAATGGAATAGATTAGGTACACAATGCCCAGTAATAAATGACCATAGTAATTTAAGTGTTTGATGAACCCAAAAATCCAAGTTTTGGGACAAGAATTTACAACTTGACAAAAAATTGCTAGGAAAACTAGAAAAAAGTTTGGCAAAAACTAGATATAGACCAACATCTCACACCATATGCCAAGTTAAGGTCAAAATGGGTATGTGATTTAGACATGAAGGGTGATACCATAAGCAAATTAGAGGAGCATGGAATAGTTTGCCTGACAGATATCTAGATAAGGGAAGAACTTATGTCCAAGCAAGAGATAGAGAGCACTATGGGAAGTAAAATGGATAATTTTGATTATATTAAATTAAAAGTTATTGTACAAACAAAACCAATGCAGCCAAGATTAGAAGGATGGAAGGCAGAAAACTGAGTGGGGGAAAGGGGGTAATTTCACAGCAAGTTTTTCTGATAAAGGCCTCGTTTCTCAAATATATAAAGAATTGAGTCAGATTTATAATAGTCCAAATCATTCCCCAATTGATAAATGGTCAAGGGATATGAACAGGCAGTTTTCAGACAAAGGAATCAAAGCTATCTATAGTCAAATGAAAAAATGCTCTAAATCTAGAGAAATGCAATTTCTCTACTCCAATTTAAAAAACTCTGAGATACCACTTCACACCTATCAAATTGACTCATATGACAGAAAAAGGAAAGTGACAAATATTGGAGAGAATGTGGGAAAATTAGGACACTAATGCATGGTTGGTGGAGTTGTGAACTGATCCAGCCATTCTGGAGAGCAGTTTGAAACTATGCTCAAAAGGCTATAAAACTGTGCATACCTTTAGACCCAGAAATACAATGACTACATTTATATCCCAAAGAGATTTAAAAAAAAATTTTTTTTAAAAAAAGGAAAAGGATCCACATATACAAAAATATTTATAGCAGCTCTTTTTGTGGTGTCAAAGAACTGGAAATTGAGGAGATGCCCATCAATTGGGAAATGACTAAATAAGTTGTGGTATATGATTGTGATGGAATATTGTTGTGCTGTAAGAAAGGACAGGCAGGGAGCTTGCAGAAATAAACCTGGAAAGACTTACATGAACTGATGCAAAGTAAAGTGAGCAGAATCAAGAGAACATTATACAATGATCAATTATGAATGACTTAGCTAGTCTCAACAAAACAATGATCTAAGACAATTCCAAGGGACTCATGATGAAAAATGCTATCCATCTCCAGAAAAAAGACCTGATGGAGTCTGAATGCAGATTGAAACATACTTTTTTGTTCTGTTTTCTTCACAACATGACTAATATGGAAATATGTTTGTACTGCTGCACATGCATGACCTACTCACATTGTATGCCTTCTCAATGAGGGGGGAGGAGAGGAAAGGATGGAAAGAATTTGGAACTCAAAATTTTAAAAAAAAGAATGTTAAAAATTTTTATGTGTAATTGGAAAAAAAATATTTTTTAAAATGCTTGTGGAATTGAATTGAATTGAACCACTGCAGATTATTTTATATACTCTCAGTTAGGCTCCCAATGCACCTCAACAACAACAACACAAAAACAATGCACCTCAACAGTTCTTCTGCTCTCCCTTCCTTGACTCCCTCTCTCATTCCTCAATCTATTCAAACCCTTTTTTTCTCTCTTCTTCTCCACTGTCGAACTCTCTCCACTCCATACTTACTACAGATGACTAATCCTCTCACTTCATTAGGAAGTCAGAGACTCTCTTCTGTGTTCCCCCTCAGCCTCCTACCATTTTCTCAAAACTTCTGAGAATCATCCTCTGCCCTCTCTTTGCCATTGATACCAGAAGAAAGAGGATATTCTTATTACTCACTAAGGCTAATCTTTCCACTTTCGCCATTGGTTCCATGGTTCCCTACCACCTCCTAGATCTTGCCCCAGAAATTGATCTCTTTCTCTCAGATTTCCTCCTTCTCTAGCTTTTTCTTTTTTATCTGCAAATACCCACAGGTCTCCCTTATACTTTGAAAAAAAAAGCCTTCCCTTTATCCTTCTACTTCATTTAGCTGCCACCTCCATCTCTCTCCTCCTTTTCATTTGGAAAAGTTGTCTATACACAATTGCTTAGTATGACCTGTCTCCTTAACAATCTTGGCATCTATGAATAGTAGTAAGTGCAAAGATGCAGATAGGGGATAGAGTGTTCAGAGAGACAGATTGCTGAAATGGAAAGAACATTGGATTTGGAGTGGGAAGACCTGAATTTTAATCATGTGTGACCCTGGCCTCTCAGAACTTTAGTTTCCTTATGTATAAAATTAGTTCCAAGTTCTATTCCAGTTTTAAATCCTATGACATGCTCCAAGTACATCGAGTTGAATCTCTGAATGCTTCCCCACATAGAAACACTACATAATATGACAGGTTCTAGAACAGAATGTGTATGTATGTATGCATGTATGTATGTATGTATGTGTGTATATGAATATATATATATATATATATATATATATATACTCAGGTAATTCCTGTTAAACAGGTGTTTGTGGGTTGGGCTACTGACAAACTACCATGTTAAAAATGTGTCCTAAGTTCCAATGAACCACCTTAGAAACACATTTTTAGAACACAACCTGCAGTTACCTCTGTGAAAGAATGCTAAGATCCAGACCTAGGCCTTAGATCCCACTGACCTAAAATCAGCTTCCAAGCTTCTCTTAACAAAGATTTTTCTCTTCATAGATTCCAAGGGAACCTTACCTTGACTCTTTTACCTTGCAAATTACCTTTTAATTTTTAATTTCACTTTTACCCTTATTAATAAGGTTATACTTTTTTTGGTTAGAATCAATACAAAATAGGAATGATTTGTGTTGCTATTTTTTCCTTGGATTCAAATAATTCAAAGTGATCTATGTAATTTTATAAATAAAAATATTATACTTGTATGTCTAGAAACTCTATAGAAAGACCTTTAGAATTTCTAGAACTCATGGAAAAAATTAATGAGATGTGTATCAAGTGTTTTGCAAGTCTTAAAGCATGAGCTATTATTACTACTATTATTATTATTATTTAGAAATCAACTCATGTTCTGTTATACCATTTTAAAGGTATTTTGAGTATGATTCAACGAGGACTGATCCCACCAGCAGCAAAGATTACTTTTGAAATGCCACCTATTATACCTAAAACTGCTTTCTTTCCTTCTTCTAAACCATCTAAGGCAAAACCTGTAGGTGAGTATTATTATCTATGTACAGGGGAGTAAATAAACTATCTTTCAGGAAAAATTAGAATATTTGTACTTAGCTAACATTTTCAACAAGAAGTTGTGTTGTGTTGTGTTTTGTTTTCAGAACTTAAGAGAAAACCAGAGGGCAATTGTAATGACTTTGGGCTGCAGTATACTGAATAAAATCTCCATCATTATCATCAACTCTATTCAATTCAATAAACATGTGTTAATTGTTGACTCTAGGTAGAGCTCTGTACAGCACCTTCTGAGGACTACAAAGTTTAGATGAAACTTAGTCCATGTGGTCAAAGAGGAGAATGTGAAATGTACACGAATAATAATAAAATAATGCAAATTTTTATTAACATAAAATTAAATACTGATATAAATAGAGGTACAAGTAAAATCCTACATGAGTAGTGTAGCTTTAGTAAGTCAGTGGGCATGAAAACTGATTTGTAGAGACATAAGAAGTGAATGAGTGCTGAGGAAATTAAGAGAAAGATAGCATTTGAGAAATGTGACAGCAAAGGTTAAGTTAGTTGACAAGCATTTATTAAGTATTTACTAGGTGTCAGGCACTCTGTTAACTGTTTGGGATATAAAGAAAGACAAAAAATAGTCTCTGCCAGAGAGATTGTTGATTAAAACTTTTGCTAGAAGGGATTAAAAATAATAGCTTATGTATTTCTAATGGCCCTATGAATTGTGTAATTTATATAATACAAACACATAATGTTGATCGGTATCAGCTGGCTCCTTTGAATATCTGAATGGAAATTAAGAAATGATGAGGAGATAAAACAGAAATTTCACTTAGTAAAGGAATTCTTTTCTACATCTTTCATTGTGACCATTGGCAATAACAGTGATGGAAGTTTGGTCCATACCAAAGAAATAGAAACCTTGGTTTACTAGGGCAACCTTATGTACCACTGAGCAATAGAAAGGTGTATGTTCTGTGCCAAAGACTGTCAAGTATATAGTTGTGCTTTACTTAATACAATAACTACATTTTTGAAAAGTCACATACGCATTGAATTTTATTTTAAATACTCTATGGGAGCTGCCAATGGGAGTTGAAGGATTCTATGGTGAAACTTTTTTATTAAGGTAACAATTACCCTCCAATATTCCAGTTTAAAAAAACCCAGATTTTTCATGCATGCCATATTCTTAAAAGTGGGTAGCTTTGCATTCTAATAGAATTTAGGTAGTCCCCATTAATTTCTACAGTCTATTATCATTCTGTTTGAAGTCAATGACAGCAGATATTTTATTCCCTTGATACAGGAAAATCTGAAAATGCCCTGTCAGTGGTTGATATAGATACAGTTAAACTCTCAAAATCCAGAGGTGTTGCAGTGAAGGCTCCTGCAGCTACAAGAGACAGAGCTTCCCCTTCATCCAGGATCTCTTTCTCATCAATTTTGAAAACACAGTCGATAACAAAACGGAAACCGATCTCCCGAGTTAAATTTAAAATTGAGGTATTTATATTTTTATTTCTAAATAAAAAGAAAATGTTTCAGGTCATATTTTCTACAACTTATTTCTTGGTTGCATGAATAAATTTGTTCTTGTAGCTGTTAAGTTTCATACACTGACATATGGATTTTGAACTGCAGGCTTGCATTTTGTTTTGAAAATATTCTAAGGAACTAATGAAATATTTTCATTGGTTTTTAAAACAAAGATAGGAAGGAAATTTAAGGTAACTCAAATTGTGCATAGAATAATTTTGATTTTGTTCCACAGAGGAGAAAGGTAATTCTCTATTGCAAAATGGAAAGACATCCCATTGTTTATAAACTATTAGAGCTGAACAATTATTTATATCTGTTTTAAAGTCCTAGACTTTGGTAATATGGCCATACCAATTTGTATTTCTGGATCAGATACAAACTTGTGATAATTAAGACTTTTTTTTACATAGAAAGAGGACAGCTGGCATGATTGTGGTTTCTCGTTCTGTCATTTTACAGCTATGTCCTAGCTTAAGACCCTAAACAGTAGTAGCACAGAAGACCTTACTTAATCCCACTGAATCTACAAACTGGATTCTTCTCCCTATCTTCTTTAAACCTTTATCTTTCAATTCCTCAATTTTTTTTGACAATTTTCACTCTTTCCAGCTTCTGTGTTATGATTTCCCCTTAAGAAATCTTCTGCCTGTTTATGTATCAGGGTGTCATGTGATGCTGCAGTTGCCATGGCAAATATTTGTGTTTCATGAAAAATGTGTGTTAAAAATCAATGTAAATGGCTAAATCCCAAGACAGACGTGCCTTCGGGCCAATGTTTCTTATGTATCATTATTGTTTCAAACTCAGCTGTTTAACAGGCTGTGAGAAGGCTATAGGCTAGATGTGCACAAAGACCGTAATAAGAGCGTGGGAAGCACCTGTTTTTACTCCCATCATATTCAGGTACAAATCCAAGTGTGTAATGGGAACCTGATCTACAGGTAATGCAAATATTATGACTAGATTTGGGTTGTTTTGTTGCCTGATATTCGCTCCCCTCACCCCCAAACTTGACAAAATGGTGACAAGGAACTATTTTCTCGCTGCTAATTAGCCTTAGCCTTAATTTCCCCTGCTGTTGAGTTCACATAGCTTTTGTTTACCGCTAGAAGCAGTAGGATTTCAAACTATTCCCTGTGGCCCCGAATTGGTACCACATCTCTGAATTGGCTCTTCTATCCTAAATGTAGTCTCTAAATCTTTTCTGAGTTGTACTTTGGCTATGGAAATTAAAAAAGCTAGCAGATCTAGTGCTCATGCCTGTTCCAACATATTGGAACATATTGAAATGATACAATGGGGGCCAGTTCTCACCTTTGGGGATGGTTGATACAAACCCCTTTCTTTCAAATACCTTTTTCTGAAATTCTTCTAAAATTAGGACACTTGCCTCCTATTTGAAGTATGTTCACTTTGTCCAACCTTCTGCTGTCTTACTTCAGACCAAACAGGACCCTTAGCAAGTAGATCTTTTAGGTGCTGTTGTATAAAAGGCTTTTGACTATTAACTCCTGACTGCATAGAAAGACAGAGCAGGCGGGCACAGCAGGAGAAGCATTGGAGAACTCTGTGTGTTGTATTTGTTTTGCAGAATTGCCCGTGAGAGTCATTTTGATTTAGACTGTGTCTCATTCTGCATTGCAGGGAAGAAACAGATGTCTGGGGTCAAGAGGGCAGTTTGAAATAAAGGTCTGTAATTTGTGTGACTAGTTAAAATTTGGAGTCTGTCGCCTGATGTCGCCTCCTTTAAAATATACTCTTGCTGCAGGGCAGAAGTAACGAAAGCATGTTTGACAGCTGGAGACCTCAACAAAAGTTCTCTGGCCTATGCACATGGGATGATAGGATCACATATGTATGTACATATACACACACACATACATATATATATATATGATACATATAACCAAATCATTCTTAAGAAAATGTGTAGTTCATCTAAAACATATTTCGTCTTTTCTGGATCACCTTCACAGTCTTCAGTCAGAAAGCAGATCTGGTTGTTTGTGAAAAGTTTAGTCTGGTCATGTGAGACTCTGTCTGGCCTTATCCCTAAGATTCAAGAATCAAAGCCCATTTTTTTTTTCAAAAAAGGAAATAATTGCTACAAATAAATTCAATGTTCCGCCCTCTTCCCCTTTCCCTCACTTATCCCTAAACACTTCTCCTTAGAATCTCAGGAATCTTGATTCCCAATACGTGATTTCAAAGGAAATAATAACTACTATTTGTGCTCTTTTAGGGATGCCCAATGTTTCTTCTTTTATGACTTTCACCTTTGTAGCTCTGCTGCCACTGACTGCTTTTAAGGTGACAGATCAAAGCACTCAGGAACAGCAGCATGAGCAATCTCTCTGGCAGATACAAACCAACCAGGTAAGAACGAGGTTTTCTATGGTATTGGAGATTAGCTTGGCTCCACCCCTATTTCCATGATGAATAAAGAACAAGTTGTTCACAGCTCTGCACCTACATGTTAACAGCACTGTTCTGAGAAGGAAATGAGCATTACAACTGACCCACTCCGCACTTCCTAGCAGTAACTTGCAGGATCATTTGGGTATTGGGTGCGAGGCTGGCTGAATTCCACTGAATAGACAGAGATATTTTTTTCCTGGAAAATGGAAAGAAAATTTGACATGGACTTGCAAGCATATGGACTTTTCAGGAAATTTCTTAGCTCAGTACGAACATGCAAATCCATCCAAAACAACTTATATAAGTTGAGGCTATGAATATTAACAGTGACCCTAAAAACAAACAAAAAGTAAGCATTCCTGCAAATAGAATGGCATTAGGTGACTTCTTTTGGACCTAGTTGAACCTATATAGACACACGACCACATAGGCCTCCAAGCTCCAAATCAAGAAGAGAAAGAATGAGAAGAAAGTGCTGCCATTTACCCAGAAAAGAGAGTAAAGGTAGAGACAAACTCAAGGAAGGAAAGAGATTGCAAAAGACTTCCAGTTCTTAAGACTTACCCATTCAGAACCTGTGATCTCATCAGGTTTGGTGTAATTACCTTCATTTTTTTTCCTTCAATCTTAGATTCACAGATCTTGAAATGAAAGGGACCTTGAGGCCTATGAGTCTTAGAATCATAGGTTTAGAGCTGGAAGGGAATTTAGAGACCATCTAGTCCGACCCCCTGCTTTTATAGATGAAAACTAAGGTCCCAGGAAGAGAAGTCTCAAAGATCACACAGGTACTAAGAGGCAGAACTGAGATTTGAACTCAGGTCCAAGTTCAGCACCCTTTCCTCTGGATCCCATTGCCTCCCTTTACAATTCCCTCCTTAATACTCCTTGAGGGTTTTAGGTAATCATCACACTTTTTCCCCCAATACAAGTTCTATGCTGAATCTGAAGGCAAGTAAAGACGCAAGAAGTCCAACCCTATTAATAATAGAAAACCACCTCCTCAACCCAGTCACGTGATTCATTGCAATACTTCCTGTCTTCTGAGACCTACTGTTCTGACAGTAATTAAGTAGGAGAGAGATCAGTTATTATGACCTCATTCCAAGGAGCTAGAATGTAATTAGGTATCTTTTGTAATTATAATAGTGCAAGGTAATTGCTAAGCTAAGCAAGCAATCTCCTATCACACGAAAAGCAAGGAAAGCTTGTTGTTTAGGGTAGGGGGAAATGTTATTTTCAAAGATGAAAGATGAACCTTTTTCAAGTTGAAGCAACTCCTTTTTTTTTTTTTTTCTTCCATCTGTGTCAAGAAGAATGATCTCCAGTTTTGAAAAGGTAAAAAATAAAAATGGTTAAGAGGTTGAAAGGCAGTGTGGGGTAGTGGATAGAGTACTGGGTGTGAAGTCAGAAACACTGGGGATCAAATCCCACCTTTGGCTGTGTGACCATGGGCAAATCACTTTATCTCTCTGAGCCTCTGTTTCCTCATCTGTAAAATGCTAAAAATAATACCTATAGTATCTACTAAATAGGATTGTTCCAGTATTCAAATGTCATAACGTATGTAAAATACTTTGAAAACCTTAAAATATCATGTAATGGTCAATTATTATTAAGAGAGGAATTGGTATCCAAGATAATTGAAGAGGTGGTAAATTAGCAACTAGTTACTCCAAAACAAATTCAGATCTCCTGTCCTAGATACATTACAACCCATGACATGGGGAGGGGGGCAGACTGTAAAAGCTCATTGATGGAGATTTTTGAGTGATCAGAGAGAATAGTGATGCAAGATTGGAGAGGTGTAAATGTTGTCTTATTTATTAAAAAGCAGAGAAAGAGGGATTCTGAAAATTATAGAATGGTGAGCAAAATGCTGATTCCTAGAAAAATCTAGAATGTATTATTAAATAGATGATTTTTGAAGTCAGAAAAAGAGGAGGGTGATTACTGGGAACCAGCACAAAGGTCACTAAAATCAAGATATTCTAGATCACCCAGTTTAGAAACATATTGCTTGAAGAATGGCAGATCAGTGTGAGTGCTGTAAAAATAGCTTATTTGGATTCCACAAGATATTCAAACATTTTCTTGTGATGTCTGGAGAAGTAGATGAAGAAATGTGGGCTGGATGGTAGCACAATTAAATGGAATAGTTGGTTGAAGCCCCAAAGTATTAGTTAATGGTTTGATATTAACCTGTCAAATCTTTATTGTCATGGCATAGAGTCCTATCTTCAGTCTCATTCTGTTCAGTGATTTAGAAGATATAGATAGTTTAATTATCAACTCTCATAATTATGTGAAACTCAAAGGGATGTTTTACACTTTAGATAATAGAATTAGGATCTCAAGAAATAGGCTAGAATGTTAGACTGAATCTAACAAGATGATATTTAATATGGATAAAGGTAAAGTCCTCTTCATGAAAACAGCAACTGTACTAATGCAAGATGGAGGAGGTATGGGTAGATAGCAGCTCATGTGAAAATTACAAGGTTTTAGTCAACAGAAGACTACTTGTGAATCAGCAGGCTTCAAAA